CAGCACCATAATTCATATGCATCAATTCCTCTTTGGTTTTTCTTATGCATAGTCCAGCTTTCACATGCATACGAGGTTACTGAAAATACCATGCCTTGGGTCAGGTGCACCTTAGTCCTCAAGGTGACTTCTTTGCTCTTCAATACTTTAAAGATGTCTTTTGCAGCAGATTTGCCCAATGCAATACATAATTTGATTTCTTGACTGCTGCTTCTATGGGCGTTAATTGCATATCAAAGTAAAATGAAATACTTGACAACTTCAATATTACCTGTTTATCATGGTGTTGCTTATTGGTCCAGTTGTTAAGACTTCTGTTTTCTTTATGCTGAGACGTAATCCACACTGAAGGCTGTAGTCTTCAATCTTCATCAGTAAATGCTTCAAGTCCTATTCTCTTTCCGTAAGCAAGTTTGTGTCATCTGCATATTACAGGTTGTTAATGAGTCTTCCTCCAATCCTGATGCCATGTTCTTCATCAAGTCCAGCTTCTCAGATTATTTGCTCAGCATACAGATTAAATAAGTATGGTGAAGGGATACAACCCTAACACACACTTTTCCTGATACTAAAACACAAAGTATTCCCTTGTCTTGTTTGAATAATTGCCTCTTGGTCTATGTATAGGTTCACCATGAGCACAATGAAATGTTCCATTCTTTGTAATGCTATCCTTAATTTGTTATGATCCACACAGTCAAAAGTCTTTGCATAGTCAATAAAACACAAATAAACATATTTCTGGTATTCTTTGTTTTCAGCCAAGATCCATCTGACATCAGCAATGATATCATTCCATGTCCTCTTCTGAATCCAGCTTCAATTTCCGGCAGGTCCCTGTCTATGTACTGCTACTTTTTGAATTATCTTCAGCACAATTTGACTTGCATGTGATATTAATGATATTGTTTGATAATTTCTACATTCTGTTCGATCACCTGTTTTTGGAATGGACACAGATATGGATCTCTTCTAGTCAACTGCCTAGGTAGAGCTGTCTTCCAAATTTCTTGGCATAGATGAGTGAGTGCTTCCAGCATTGCATCTGTTTGCTGAAACATCTCAGGTGGTATTCTGTCAATTCCTGGAGCCTTGTTTTTTTTTTTTTTTTTTTTTTGCCAATTCCTTCAGTACAGCTTGGACTTCTTCCTTCAGTACCACTGGTTCTTGATCATATGCCACCTCCTGAAATGGTCGAACAGGGACCAATTCTTTTTCATACAGCGACTCTGTACTCTTTTCATCTTCTTGTGATGTTTCCTTCGTCCTTCAATTCTTTTTGCCCACAAAACCCTTCAATACTGCAACTCAAAGTCTGAATTTTTTCTTCAGTTCTTTCAGCTTGAGAAATGCTGAGCATGTTCTTCCCTTCTGGTCTCCTAACTCCAGGTCTTTCATTATAGTACTTTACTTGTCCTCTCAAGTTGCCCCTTGAAATCTTCTGTTCAGCTCTTTCACTTGATTGTTTCTTCCTTTGGTTTTAGGTACTCCATGCTCAAAAGCCAGTTTCAGAGTCTTTCTGATATCCAGCTTGGTCTTTTTTCTCTTCTGTCTTCTTTTGCTTTCTTCATGCATGATGTCCTAGGCTCGTTTGTCTTTAAGCTAAGGGTCTCCAAGACCATGTGGGTTTTCAGCCTCAGAGCAAAGATAGTACCCAGCTAACCTCCACCTCCAGGCTTCCTTTCTCCTGAGGCCTCTGAGTCAGGCTTCCTGAGGAGGCTAAAGCCACTCTCTCTTGGCCGCTCTCAAGACAAGTCTTCCCTCTTTCCCAGTAGGTCTAGGAGGCAATCTCATGTTTCTAGAAGGAAGGGACCATCAAGAATGAGACTTTGTACCACTTTCCAGCTGGTACCACCATATGGCCAGGTCCAGGTTGCAAGAGAGAAGCAGTCCTTCTTATATTTAGGTCCTGAAACTTTTTGAAAACCTTCTAGAAGCTGTGGTAGCTCTCTGCAGAAACATATGTGCATGTGCACTACCGCCCCTCCCCCCAAGAACATGTACCATTTTGCACATAACTTTAGGTGAATTTTTGACAACTTGGGTCCATCCCATGGTAGGAGCCCCTGGGCCAGTCCTGAGTCCGACCTGACCTGCGTTGTGATCTCAGGGAGGTAATTTACATTCTCTGGGTCCCAGAAAAAGGGAGAAGAGAGGAGAGGGGAGGGGAGGGAAGGGAAGAAGAGGGGAGGGGAGGACAGAAGAGGGGAGGGGAGG